ATACAAACTGACCATAGATACTTCAATTGTCTTAATAAGGATAATGAGTTGTTTTTTCAGTTAAAATTGAGTATTCAGAGGTCTTATAATTATTGAACTCACCATTCTGAATAATTTTGTCATTCAGAGCATTTCACAATTCTTTACCCATTTCAAGAAATTTGCTTTTCTATTCTTTTAGCAAAATCTACCGAGATTCTATATTCATCTCTATTGGAATCAATATATATAAAATGTTTTTATTAGAGCTGTTTTTGCACGCTTGCTAGGAAACTATTGTCATGACATAGAATTTTAACATTGGTATAGAATGATAGAAAAGACTTTGACCTATTGAATGGTAAAAACGAAATGACTCAAATATTGAACTAATGGTTTGAGAATTTATTTTCACTAACGTTAGCAAAAGTTGCTAGAATTCTAGATTCATTCCAATTGCATCAGCCAGATTACATATTTGACCCATCAACGATGAATCAAATACTATTCAAACAACACCTTGTAGATAAGTGTAGATGCCAAGGGGTACACTTCGCATACAAGACAAAGATTAATGAAACTTATATTAAGCGTGGACGTCCATTCATATTACATTACATCATGAACCTCATCATTCTGACATAATAAGGACAGTCCAACGTGTCTATGATAATGAACGTCCCTATATATTATATTCACCATTATCGCTTGTTCTATGCATTTTTTCTCTCTCTGCCTCTTTTCTCTATATCTCTCTCTATCATTTTCTCTATGATTAGTCGGTAAACGGAGTTGAGTCGATTTCGACTAGTAACGAAAGTGACTCAAGTCGAGAGATGGACGCATAGGAATGTTGTTTAAGCGAATAGTTCTAGCGTATGTATTTGCTGTCGTTAGAGAATACATTTACTCTTCAGGAACATGGTGCATTTATTTAATTCTCTTTATTCATTATTAAATAACCATTTACGGCTTGATGCTGTCTAAATATTCTTCCATATCAATATCTGCCGAGCTCGATCTGTACTTAAAAGATCTTGATTTATAAATTTCACCAGTCTATAGGGAAAATGTTTTTCAAGATAATTTGTGAAGAAAAATTTTGAAAAAGACTGAAAAATAGAAAAGTTATAATCAAAATATTGCATCTCGTCATTTTTGGCTTCTAACAAGCAGTGCATAAAGAATGAGCTTCTCAGCATTTTGACTATAACTGCTTTCCTTTTAGTCTTTAGAGCTAGTTCTTTTTCCAAAAGACGTGCCGTTAAGTTCTCTACAAAATTATAATCAAACTTATTTCTGTGGAAAGTTAAGGAAAATAATTAAGCGAAGATTATCTAACACTTAAAAAATACTCAATTTTCAAAGCCACCTAGTGTGATAGAATAAGCGTGAAAAGCTCTACAATTTATAAAGAACAATTGATTACATATATATGCACTTTTTGCTTTTAAATCAGGAAAATTCTGTGCAACCAAAAAGTGATCTTGTTTGTAGCGTCGAAAATTGGTCACATAGAGCTTTGTCCATTTTGAAAACAAATAGTGTATATATGAAATAAGGTTTCCACTGTAACTTGTAGAGCTTTTCATCGTCCATCTTATGCTATACTTTGCTTGTAAAACAAACATACTAGGTGATTAAGAAAAATGAGATACATACGCCGACTATTCATTATATCACACTAGTTAGCTTTGAAAATTGAGTATTTTTTATGTGTTAGATAATCTTCATTTATTTGTTTTCCTTGGCTTTCCAAAGAAATAAATTTGAATTATGGTTTTTGTAGAGAATTTAACGGCATATCTCTTAGAAAAGGAACCAGCTCTAAAAACTAAGAAGGAAAAAAGTTATAGTCAAAATTCTGTGATGGTCGTTCTTTACATGCGAATGTTATGATGAGCGTCTAGTTGTTTTACTTATTTGGTTCTAGAATCTTCTTTCTTATCAACCTTGTCATATCAAAAGAACAAAACTAGCTGCTTACATGTGCGTATATTCACAGAATAGAGAAAAAATGCTCTCTCCATCCAGCCATATACAAGAAAGAAAAAAAAATGTAGAAGCTGTATCAGTGAAAAGACGTGCGCATACGCTTTATGCTTCGTCCTTCGAGGACTGACTTTTTTTCAAGCAAAAAGTAATGATGGATGAGAATAAATAGGCGCGTTTTTATCTCCATATTCCGTCGTTGACGATATGTTGTTTTAAAAAACAAAATATACCACAAGGTGCAGTCTAAAAAGCTATACAATCGATAAAGTAAGGCTTATTTATATATGCATCTTTTGTTTTCAAAATGGATAATATTCTATGTGACTAATTTTTGATGCTGCGAGCCAAATTATTTATTGGCACAAGATAAATTCTTTTTCTTAATGAATCATATCAAAAAGCCATAATCGATGACCAAATTTAGATAATCGATATGTGTTCCAATTATATTTCCACATTGGTTCTGATGTTACTTGTTAGAGATGCACATGAGCAATATAATAACAAGTCACAATTGTATAAATGCTACCAGTTAACATAAAAAGAAACACGAAGAACTTCGAAAATCAAACGCACAGAATATTGTCTATTTTAAAAACAAAAGTAATATATATAAACTCAGCTTTGTATGGAAAATTGCAGAGCTTTCGGCACTGCATCTTGTGATATATTTTGTTTCTTTTAATATAACATATTAAACGATTAAAAATTGAAATCCAAAACATGACCATTTATTCTGTCTCCCTTCGTTAGGTGATACATACGTATGCACCACCGTCTTCAACGCGTTTTAACAAGAATAAATACATGTTGATAAATTTTCTTTTTTAGAGAAAATTCGCATCATTTACTCAGGAAAGTGAGATTTGATAAAAATGGCTGAAGCTCACAAAAAAATAGCTCAAGAATTTGCACAAGCACTCAATGCTGGTCATGTTAATGATCTTGATAAATATTTGGAGCATTATGTTGAAAAAATTGAACACTCCACGATTCCTTATAAAAATATTGATGAAGCACGAGAATATTATTCAAAGGAACATCAAGCTCATCCACCGGCTGAATGGAAAATTCTTGATTTTCAACACGATGATCCAAACACTGATACATTAACAGCTCGTGTTTCACATAATAATCAAATATACCATACAACTTATACGTTTAGTTCAGCAGGAAAAATTGAAAAAATTCATTCCGTTCCTGAACATCATCATCATCACACTACTCACTAAATATTCATCAAGACATTATTTTTAAACTATATTATATTCATTTCCTACATATTCTCCTTGTTCCCAAATAAAACCTCGCTCATTTTTTCTTTTACAGGTTAACATCATTTCATATTTCAAATATTGCCCATGGCGAATGTCTAGGATTTGTGATATTTTATCTATCTGCCGATAACATATTCCCTTGACTGTAGGGAGGGTAATATGAAAAAAATAAGTTTATGGCTGTCCTTGTAACCAAGGTCAAAAGAACATCAGGGGCAAAAGAACATCAGGGGCAAAAGAACATTAGATTAAAGATCAAAATAGTGACCATGTTTTTCGATAGGTGCTGTTTGTCCACACAGATTTTCACAGACTGGAAATTCAGTCAATTAGAGGCTTTGATACTGGGCTTTCGACCAATCATTTTTCAAGCTGAAAGTTCGGCCAGTCAGAGATTTTCGATATCAGTCTTTCAACCAATCAGACTCTTTCAGCTCGGAATTCCAGCCAATCAGGATTTTTGATATTAAGTTTTCAATCAATCAGATTCTTTTTAACTGAGAGTTCAGCAAACCATAGATTTTCGATGTTAGACTTTCGACCAATCAGTTTTTTTCAGCTTAGAAGTCCAGTCAATCAGAGGTTTGCGATATTGAACTTTCGACTAATCCGAGGGTTTTGTTGGGGTACTATCGACTAATGAGAGGTTTTCGATATGAGGAACTTCAACCAATCAGATTTTTCAGGCTGAGCATTCGACCAATCAGAAGTTTTCGATCAATTAGTTTTTTAAGCTGAAAGTTCAGCCAATTCCGTTTTCTCTGAGTTGGGAGCTCAGCCAATCAGGTTCTATTTGATTGGACTTCAATTAATCAAGTTCTTGTTTTATAAAGGTTGACGAAAGTAAGTCGAACTGAGGAATCCGAATCTTAAGTCTATTTCTCAAAATTTTGAATTGAATTTTTAGGGTCCAGGGAAGGGTTTTTGGAGAAAATAATGGTATTGTGTAAGGGTTGATGAAAACAAATCGAGATCGGAGAATTCGAATCTAAACTCAGTTTCTCAAAATTTTCAGCTGAATTTTTTAGGTCAGGGGAAAATTTTTTTTGAGAAAATAATAATATCTTCTCGAGTGCAGGATGAGTTATATGAAATACAATAAATTTTTGTCTGTTTCTGTCAGAGTGAAACGTGAAAAACAACACGTTGGCTACGTGTCCGATGCTCGTGTTTTTTAATATTGGGCTTTCGAGCAAGTTGATTTTTCAGACTGAAAATTCAGTTAATCCAACGTATATGATAAGTTCTC